TGGGAATTACAAACACTGTTTCGTATTCGGAATATGAAACTATCATGTTTTTGTTGGAAATACGAGCTTCCGGAATTAAGAACGTTTGGAGTAACACATTTAATTTCGCCTCGGATAACTAATCACAGTTTAATTTTCCATATATCCCAGCTTATAGGTTCAGAAGCTTTTGAATTATTAAACATTACGCACTGCGATGTTTCTACGTGATGACTTACTTTACTTATCTCATGCAATTGCTAATATATACTCGAAACAATGCTTAAAGATGAAGTTGAGTTCTGGTCATGCGATTGCATTGTGAAAGAAACGGTGTGGAACCGACCAGAAAAGGTTGATCATCTATAGCATATAAGAATTTTTGTGTATTGCAAGGTTCTGGAATCATGAAAATGATAAGAAATTTGGCCAAGTCTTGGTAAAGTTACAAACACTTGCACAGAAAGATGTATATGGGACTACACGATTTTTACGATGTTACATGCATTTTTAGAATATGAAGGCATTTGAAGAGCCATGCTTTTTAGGGAACATGTCTTAACTGATGTTCTTCCACACTTGCATAATAAGAATGAGCAATGCTCACAAACTTATTTTTCACCTCTTCCCAGAACTCAACCTTCTCTCCTCTCATTTATCCTCTTTTAATATTATTAGAAAGTTCATACAAAACTTAAACATCAACTCAGTTCGCCATAATCTTTATCTCATTTAACAGCAGTGAGAGGATACAAGTCTCTCTAGAGATTTAGAAAGTAATCGGGTTAAACCCCCTGAAAATACTTTTCAAGACCGTCACCACTACTGGGCCAGAATGGATTAGACCACATAGCGAGGTCACTGACAGGTGGCTATCTCATTAACTCAGCTCTCAACTAACATAAGAAAAAGAGGATCATGGGGACCAACAGGCACCGATTTGGGAAGTTTTCTATATAGAGGGAGCAAGTAGCTACAAGTAGGACAGTGGGGCTTAAAGTTATCATTAATGGCAAAGTTTCCATGGAAGTTTACCATTAATGGCAAAGTTACCACCAATGATAAGTTTTATGCAACGGGCCTAAGGGTTCATACTTAAAATGAAATGCGGTTCGTTATTCCGAAGGTACATAAAAACGATACATGGTTCTATCCCCACATTTGAAAAATACTGGGTAAAAATGTGCCATCAGGGTAATTATGTATCCACCCAATTTTGGACGTATTCTACTTTTTAAACCAAACTTGTCCAAGACGAAGTAGTTTTTCTATATTTTTACCCTAATTGGACAAGTTTGGTAATAAAATGCTTTGTTCGATACAGGTCAAATATTTGTTTCATTAATAAAATATTGTAATTAAGCTCGTGCTGGGCATTCGGAATTATGAACAATATTATTTTTGGAATTACGAACCCTATTTCATTTTCGAAAGTATGAACCCTATTTCGTTTTTCGGAAGTATAAGCCATATATCATCATGATCATGATCTTTTTTTTTCAAATACGAACCTTCAGAATGATGAAAGTTTGGAGTACCGAACCTTCGGTAAATTTTTTCCCCTTACATCGTGTATACATGTATGGCAGCGTTCGGAACCTTTTGAAATTTCAAACATTACGCACTGCCAAACGACATAGCAACAACTTACCATTTGCTTCTACTTTATGACCTATATTACTTATCTCATGCAATTGCTACTTAGAAAAAACGTTAAACGCATGTCACCTGCTAAGATGCAATCATATAGGCTTACCATCCATTTTTGAATGGCCTGAATCATCATCTCCATTTTAATTTTTTGTTATACAGAAAGCACGAGAATTTCTTAAACAGTAATTCAACTAAATAAACTCCAAAAGGCCATGAGTACACCTTGATGAACCTAAACCCGTCTAATTTAAAGAAATTTATTATTATTATTTTTTGTTTCGTTCCTGCATTTTCATTGCCAGAACTATAATTTTACACATTGATTACATCATCTTCAGATCTTCGTCGAGATGGGTTTGGAGATAATCCTGTGTTCGAGAGCATCGTCCTAGAAGACAGGGAGGCTGATGAGGAATCGTCTATCTTGGGCTACGCCCTCTTTTTCATGGGCTTCTGCTCCTGGAAGGGGCGACTCCTCTATCTTGAAGATGTTTATATCAATTCTGAATACAGAGGTAGGCAAACAGTTATACAATGGATATTTTAATACTTTGTTCACTAGAAATGTGCCCTCTCCTTGAAATGTGTTTGATTTTAAGATCAACATAGTGAGATTCTAAAAAGAATGTCTAGAGGGTAATTGCGCAGATCGAGGTGAGGTGCATGATAAACACTGGTCTTTTTAGACTATTGGGGTGTCGTAATCGAGTGATTTAATGTGCGAAGGTCGTGTGTGCGTGTGTATTAAAGTGTGTGTCAGTTGGGGGGGGGGGGGGGGGAGGGTAGGGCTGCATCCCCCTCCCGAGAAATTCGAAATCACCCATATTTAGGCACTCTGATTATCTTTTCAACTTACTTGATGACAAAATAAATTTTTTAATATATTAACATGTGAATTGAAAGGTCATATTCTGGAAGGCAGCCAAGATCAGAATGTTCCGGTACATCACGTATGTGAAGTGTAAAGTCTACTGCACGCAGTGCAAAGGCTGAGAAGGTGTTTTTTGGTACAATTGTTTACATTTTCATTGTCAATTTCAATGTGCAACATCTCGCTATCTTGATCACAACTGGAGCAAAACGTAAATCATTGTATGTGAAGTGTAAATTCTACTGCTATCAGTGCAAAGGCTTAGAAGATGTTTTAACACAATAAATACCTTTTCAATTTCAATTTTAATGTGCAACGTCACAACCTTTGATCACAACTGGAGCAAAAAGCACTATACTGTATTCAAGATATAAGTTCCAAACATTACTTCCGTTAAAGATAAAGGTGAGTTCTGGTAAAAAAAAGAAAATAATTCTCACAGAATCAACCGAAAATTACACTGACTGTTCAAGATTACAAATAAATGTCATTTGTCAAACATTTTGGTAGAAAATGTATACTGGCTGAGTAATGAGCAAAGAAAGATTAGGAAATCAAGGTTAGCAGCCCCGACACCATTTGTGTAGTCCCATACACATCTTTATGTGTACAGTGCTTGTTACTTTACCAAGACTCGGCCAAATGTATCATGATTTTGATGACTCCAGAAATTTGCAGTACACACCAATACTTACATGCTACATGATCAACTTTTTTCTGATCCATTCCACTCCTTTTCTTTCACGATGCAATCAGAACTCACCTTTATCTTTAAGAGAAACTGGGAAATTTAACTTCCGTCTCTATTTTAACAAAAGAGACATAAAAGTAGACTATAATAGTCGATACACTCGTACGCGCTCGCATAGAAAAGGGCCCAAGTCCGACCTGGTCTCCGTGCATAAGTTTATTCTTTATTTTCTTCATACTCCTTTATCACCAGCCCTTCGAATGTAAGGTCAAGTTCTTTTTTGAAAGGTTGATTTGATACTCCTATATCTGTACACAATTTGTTTTCTTCATGTAATTGATAAACTTTTCAGAGCGATATTAGCGTATTATATTTAAAGCATTTTCTGAACAATATAATTGAAGATAATAGAATAATAATTATTACAACAAAATGATTATACTTTTAACCGAGAAAGAAAGGGAAAGTAACACCATCAAGATATCAAGGTATAGTCAATGAGAATGATTCGGGAATCGTAATTAGAATTATAACTATTTATTCATTTTCAACCTTCTCAGAACAATATAGTTGACATAATAAAAAAGGAATACTAGTATTACAAACAATATTATTCTTTGAACATAGAATATACATCTAGTATAATACCACCAAAACTTACCATTGATGGTAACTTTACCATCACTGGTAACTACCATGAAAACCTGATTTTGATTGGCTGTTGACCCCTAGCTATTACAATGGTAGTTGGCATTGATGGCAAAGTTACCATCAATGGTAAGTTTTATGCAATACATGAGAATGGTTCGAGAATCGTTATACAAATTATACTATAACCCCCCCCCCCGACATTCTCACAGAATTTATTTTTTTCCCCTCCAAACTTGTCAGTTTTGTTTGAAAGTATACTCACTTGCTTCTCATTTGTATAACAAATCTTGATACATTGCTTAATTGTCTGGAAAGCCAGGTTTTTGGAGCGAAACATAATTGTTGTTTGGTCCGAATTATTAAACAGTTTAAAACACGTATCCAGTCGGTCAAACGATTACATAAGTTTCACAAAAATGATCATAACTTTGAAGTTTTCAATGAAATTCTTTGTAAGTTCACAGGATACTACTACTACTTTATTTATGTAATTTCACTGGGAATAGCCGGATAATTGTTAAGATGTTTAGATCAAATTGTCGTTGCATTGTTTATGAGACACCCTGTATATGTATATAGCACTCAAGTTTACACATGTTTGTTTACCAGGTACTGGTCTCGGTATAACTCTGTTACACGCCGTAGCGCAGGTATGTATAACTATGGACTTGGCATACGCGTCTTCAAAATCAATATATCTAAAACAAGATCTTGTCCTTTGATCACATGCACCAACACGACCGACACCCCAGGGCCCAGGCCGACAACAGACCGACACCAGACCGACAACAGACCGACAACAGACAGACACCAGGCCGACACCAGGCCGACAACAGACCGACACCAGGCCGACAACAGACTGACACCAGACCGAACGAAAATTCATGTATTGCATTACGTTTAGGGCCGAGAATCTTGTCTGCTTGGAGTCGGTCTGAAGTCGGTTTGATGGTGTAACAGGTATACAGGTGTTACTGTGAAACATCATATTTTCATGCGACACCTCAATAGATTGAATTTCTGTGAACTGGTTAACCTAGCTTTTAGTACATGACTTGTAATGAATTGTTTCAGTTTATTTAGCCTTAGTATATATACATTAGATCCCAAATAAAACGTTCCCATTTTCTTCCCCTATTTTCTTCTTTCTCCAACCCCCTTCCCTCTCTCTGACCTTCTCTCTGTCTCTCACTCACTCATATTTTTCTCCCTTCTCTTTTCTCCTATCCAACCCAATGCAATCTAATCCCAAAGATGTTCGATATGGTGCATTTTCCTTGTATTGTAGTTCCAAAAACGCTGCACAGTTATACTAGATCCACCTGTGTGGGCCACTGTAAACAAAAAAAAAGGCCGAAACAATCCACTGTTCCCTTTGCAAAAGGATAATGGGACTTCAGTAGTGTCTTGAAGCGGTTAACAGATCTAGCTGTCTTCACAATAGTAGATATCTCTCCTCGTTTGTTTGACTGTCTGCCTTTGTGAACTCTTTCAATATTTGCAGATTTCTGAGGAGAGTGGTTGCAAGGCTATCACTATGAACATCACGGACAAAGGAAGCGGCCAAATATACAGTTCCTCGAGTAGACAAAGGAACATCCCTTCACTGCTATTATGTAAAAAGGTGAATATGCATGTGACACCTGTTCAACACATTTTTACATAAGATAGATAGAAATGGTTTTTATTAAAAAGATCATCGCAGCCAATGGCTGAATTGCGATCCATTTCACAAGGTTATATACAATACAATTGCAATTCAAATTGAAATAACACAAAATATGACATAAATCAATAATCAAACATATAGACATTTCATAAAAATTCATTGATCAGATTCAAATTTTTGTAAAAAAAAGAAAGAGATAGGGAGAGGTGTAGGAGAGGGAGAGTTGGAGTGATGACAAAGAGAGAGAAGGAGAGAAAGAAAGAGAAGGGGGACGGGAGAGAAAGACGGAAAGAGATATAGAGAGGGAGAGAAAGAGAGAGAGAGAGAGTTGAAGAGAGGAAGAGACAGACAAAGGGTACCTTATCTTTACAGATGAGGGGAGATGGCAAGAAATATTCAGTAATGCAGAAAACAGCAGTGAAGGGATGTTCCTTTGTCTACCTGAGGAACTGTACATTTTGTCCGCTTTCTTTGTCAGTCATATTCATAGTGTATCCAGGGTACTGTCGTTGAATGGAACCCGGATGTCATGAAGCTCTACAAACGGATCGGTGCTAGGGATATGACGGAGAATGAGAAATGTCATCTAGTGGCCATTGGCCAGGCCGATGTCCAACGATTCGCCCAGACCGAGCTGCCAATGTTCAACAATGGATCACAAATCGTGTCATGTGAGCTTTATCTGTGAAAGACTGAACTGAACTGAACTGTCCTGTCAAGGGGGTGGGGGTGGGGGGGGGGGGGGTGGACTACATTTTATGACTCAGCATTTGTCAACGTTTCCCTCAAACTCAATGGTCTCGCTACAGGGGGAATGGTGACAAAAGGAAGAAAGAAAGTGACAAGACTAAAGAGAAAGGGAAAGAGAGAAGGGGAAAAGGACGTCTGACCTACACGTACCTCCCACGTCCTCCACTAGCCTTGCAAATGTGCATGTAATTTCCCGAGTAAGGAGTTTGCCCCGACAATCCTTCCAGTACAGTGACCTATCATTGGGTGTATCGACGTACGGGCATATTTTCGTGTAGGGGGGGGGGGGGGGAAGTAACGCTGAATATCTTTCAATTTTTCTTGATACATGTATTTTATTTATTTATTTTTATTTTTTGGGGGATACATATTTGGTTAATAGCATCACACATTTTGAATATTCAATTTCTCTCTTACATGCACTACCACGACTACGTAGATTAAAACAAAGTGGCATTTTGCAATACATTAATGAGTTTTGTCAACGTCAATGTCTAGATGCCCTGAGATCTTTATTTATTCCATTTCAAAACAAAGTTATCAAATAACAAAATCATTGAGGCGGGCCGAAATAAAAAGGAAAAGAGGAGGGGGACAAGAAACAAGGGATTGTCATATTAACAAAGTTTATTTGGCCTTATAACATATGCCGTCGTCATTGGGAGAACTTTGTGAACACAATGACCATGATGGTTGGTATTGGATGACGGGAAATATATTTTTCAGGAGAACTATATTTTCTCATACCCTGGCTTGAAAATTGAGTCCTTGTAAGGCATTTCATTACTTGAAAAATATTTGCTGTGTAAACAGGGATATTGTATGTCTCTGGTCTAAATAGAATAGGCACAGTGAATTCTTGACGTTTGAATAAACACGGTATGTATTATGACGTCATGGCACATTGTGTGCTGAATCATGAATATATATATGAATGCTAGGCCAAGTCCTAGGAAAATCACCTGTCTCCATAATAGATGTATACCCACAGGAAACTCGTGAAACAATTTGAATTTTCAAGATTTTCTCTTCACAAAGAATCGAGAATTCAATTAACAAAAGGCCGTGAGGGCCTCTTGCCCGGAAATATACCATCCGGATCCCAAATATTGAGAGCATATTTTTATTGCAAAGATGTTTTTTATTCATTAATATACACTAGATAAAGTGTCAAAAAATACACATCCGGTCATCTCTTTGCCACGAATCATCCTGATTTATCAATTTTGCAAGAAGTAACACGAACGATTTAGGGGAAGAATTATGGTAAGAATTGTATTTCGATATAAAAATAAAACAAATAAGGTTATATTCGGGCGCCATGCTGCCCGAATATCGTCATATCATTATGGGGATCGACCTCGCTGCCTAAAACTATTCCTACTTTGCGAGCGAGCAAAGCGAGCGATGAAAAATGCACTTTACTATCTCTTAAATGTCATTGCCTCTAATCAAAATACCTTAATGGTATCTATGGGCGTGTCGCAGTTTCTGATACTTTGTTTCATGAAGTTTACCTTATTTCAAAATATATTGACTCGCGGCTCCCCGGTTGGCAAACGTTGTGCTATAGACGTTCAATATTTCAGGGGGAAGGGCGGATTGACTAGGCCGGTAGGGGATCAACTCCTTGCCCCTTTAGAGTGGGACAATTTGCATTTTAAAGTGAAAGAGACAAACGTACACATACTCTCTCTGTCTCTTTTCCAGTAGGTCTTCTATCTTTCACTCCTGTTTCCATTTATGTTTTACACTCTGCTGTAGGCCTAACCTACAACAAGGAGTCAGATCGGATTACTCAAAGCTTTCTCGATGATCGTTTAATGCACCTCTTACAACAGATTTCATTTAGGACTTATCAGGTTTGGGGCCCACGTTACTTATTCACATAATAGTATAATCTGTAAAGAGCGCTTTTCGAGCTACTCTCCTCATATCATTTCACGTTCTTGAGCATTTTTTTCTTCATTTCTCTCCTCGCTCTCACCTCTTTTTTTTTTTTTGGGGGTGGGGGGGGGGGGGGGGGCATCCAATTTTCTTTCAATTTCTTTGTTGTTGTTGTTGTTGTTTTTTTTTTTTTTTGGGGGGGGGGGCACATGCCCTCTGCCCTATACCACCAGTTTCCCCCGTGACCCCCGTTTCTACGCCACTGATGGCTGCCGACTAGTGTATAGGCTAGTCTGGACTGACGTTTTGATGTTTAATAGACACGCTGATAACGGCTGATTATGTGTTGAATGTAAAAAGATAAGATGATGCAGCTTAACATGTCAATAATGGCTTATCATAATCTTTGTCTGCATTTTCAATCGGCAATTTTTAACGACAAGATAATGCGACAAAGGGGAAGAAGAAGAAGATAAAGAAGAAAAAGACGAAGAAGAGGAGAAAGACGAAACGTGAGTAGATGTACTCTGCATGATGTGACTAAAATGTCAATCATAGCTTATCCCAATCATTATCTGCTCAAACGGCAATTATCGGTACGATGAGAGAATTGAAAGAAGGCCAAACAAAAAACAAGAACAAAAGAAAAGAAAACAAAAACGAAAACAAAACTCGAAAGAGAGGAGATGAAAAACAAGAATATGAATATATGGTTCAGAATGTTTGTTTTTAAAGGAATAACAGTCCGAAGAATTTCTCAGAAAAACGAAATAATGAATAATAATGAGCTTTCCCTCTAAAAGTGGCCGGAATATGTCCTTCATAGTTTATAAACACATTCTATGTTCTCAGAATGCTTTTGTATTGAATTGGTAATTGTACAAAAAATCTTTTAACCTGTATATATGTGTCAGCGCTCAAAATACACGGGGGCGGTGGGCGATTCGCCCCCGTGAGCTCCATAATCGCCCCCGTCAGGTTGCTCACGGGGGCGATTGCAAAATTAAAAATCGCCCCCGTGGAATTATAAAATAAAGATTATCTTTTCTAATATAACTTTAACACAATATTGAGTATCAATTTTTAAACCTTACACCAATTAAATGGAACTTAGATGGCGCTTTCTCTCCCATCTCTATGTGTATTACCGATACAAATAACGAAAGATCGCAGAGCAGCTAGTGCGACCGTCAGCAGTGGCTATACTGGGCCGGTAGTACCGGTGAGCACGCTGACGCCCAATATATGCCAGAGCTGTTGACGATCGCGCAAGGACTGAAACATGGAGAAGTTTTTCGTTGTGAAAAGTGTGAATCCTCTGAAATCTGGTGATTCTAAAAGACCATCAAATAATGTAACTCGACCAGTAAATCAATATTGAGAAGAAGAAGAAGCCCAAAGATGTCGCAGGGGCGGATCTAGGCGGTTTAGGGGGTTTAACCCCCTCCCCCTTGGGCTGCCAAGTGAAAATGTGATGTGCATAGAAAAATACTATCATGTGTCTAGACCTACGCAGTATTAGTAGATGTCAGTAGATGCCAGGGCCCCGTCTTACAAAGAGTTGATATCAATCGTAAGTTATTTGCGATTGATATCAATCGTAACTATGTACATAAGAGATAGGAGACTGCAAACTTGCGATTGATTGGAGGACTTACGATTGATTTGGATCGATCGTAACTCTTTGTAAGACGTGGCCCAGGAAAACATCACTAATGGGTTCAAAAAAGCACCAAAAATAGTTTTGCTAAAGAATGTAATTTTGTAATACAAAAACTTCAAAAACCTGTGAGGGGTAGCATACAGCTGTACCGATGTGGGGGGGGGGGGGGTGGCAGTGACCCTCCAATCAAATTTAAAAATGGGTTTATTTCTAATTTGATACCAGCGATTTACAAATGTTGCTAAAATGGTATTATTTTTCCATGAGCTCCCAGGGGCTCTACCCCCTGTACCCAAAGAAGGGCTCTTAGGCGGGCACCTGGTTGCTCATCTGGCCGTTATTAAATGCCTAAAATCTCTGAGCTACCGGGGGCTCTGCCCTCTAGACCTCACTCCAACTAGTGACCTGCCAGTATCACAAATAAGGTATCACAATATGCTCATCTGACCGTTATTAAATGCCTAAAACCCTGACTGCTCATCTAATTGTAATTAAACGCCTAAACCCCTTAAGCTTCTTGGGGCTTTGCCCCTGGACCCCACGCCAATTTTAGCTCCACTTCCTTTGCTCGCTTTGCTCCACCTGATCGTAAATACTTTAGCCCCCCACACCCCCCTCCCCAACTTTTTTACTCATTACGCCACTGGCCCCTCTTACTCAATATGTTCCTTCATCCCTCACATTTCGTCCCCCCGGGTCATGAAAAGAAATCGCCGCCCCTGATTGTAGGTGTTTGAAGCCCTAATTAATTAGAGAGCCAGCTAGCTTAAATCTACCCTATTATCTTTCGTCATATATTTCTTTGTTTTTCCTTTTATCTATCCTCTTCTTTTTCGTCATGTATTTCTTTGGTTTTTCCATATAAATGTATTCTCTTCTCTTCCGTTATGTATTTCTTCGTTTTTCCTTCTCTACATCCTCTCCACCCTCCTTATGTATTTTTTGTTTTTCCTTTTCTATTATCTTTCCTTCCCTGGGTGTACATGGGTTCAAGTCTCAGTTTATTCAGTTTTGTTGCCTATATTATCGAGGCAAAACAATAAATAATCAAAGTCTAATTGTTTGTGACCTCTTTGCAAGCTTTACGTATATCTTGTTATGTATGAAAATGAGTTCATACTGGAATCTGGGCTCGCCGTGTTACGAAAAAATAAGACGCCTCCGGCCATGACTAGAGGTTGTTGCAATATGAACGTAGGTTGTCTCATTCAGTGACTAAGACTGCAACAGTTTATGTCATGGAAGCTTTAAAAATAATTCTATGCAAACCGTTGGGTATGAAACAAAAATACATACTGCACAGTCATTCGCTGGGGAGGCTAAACTCCGTTGCAGCTGACCATGTACTAGAGGAGACGACACTTACATCCTAAAGTGTTGTGAAGGGA